TATCTCCTCCGTAAGAGTTTTCGAAAAACCATTTAATTGCTACAACCCGGTTTGTTGTCTTTTCAACAGCTTTAAAAACTTTTCCATATGTCCCCTCTCCCAACTTTGCGATGACAATGAATGGAAAATGTTCTCTTTCACACATCTTTCTCAATATTTTAGTTTTAATTTTGTTATAAATAAAGTCTTTTTTTCCTTATTGTCTGTTTTATTTTTAATATGTATCTAATAATATTATAGTATTTTTATAGCAAAATATTATAACTTTAAAATAAATCAATTTTATTTTTATAATTTTATTTTTTAACTTTAAATTAATAATTATAATTAAATTATTAAATTATTAAATTAATATAATAATGATAATAACATTTTTTTTAAACTCTTAGAAATTATAAAAACATTAAAAAATGTGTTATTTATTTTATCTTATTTTGAATTTAATATTCTTTAATAATATTTTTAATTATTATTAAAACAACTAATCAATGGATTAAATAAAAAAATAAATAAAAATACGTTACAAAAAACATTTTATCAAATTCAACTAATTATTTAATTTTCATTTTATCCTTATAAAATAAATAATTAAAAAATAGTTATTAAAAAAACGAATTAGAAATAAAAACAGGAATAAAAAATCAACAAAAATGACGAATATATTAATGACAAAGTTTAATTATTATTTTGTTTGTGTGTATTGACGTTATGTTTAACCGAATCTTAATATCTTATTAAATTATTAAATATTATTAAATAATTATTTTCATATTTCGAATATTTTTAAATGTTTTGAATCGATAATTTTAAAAGTATTTAATTGGTGGAACATTTTGAAAAAAATGAACTCACAACCCCTTTTTATTCATCAAAATGAAGTCGCTTTCATTTTGTATATTACTTGTTCATTGTTGTTTTGGAAATACTTACTCAACACTCAAAGAAGCTTGTTTGGCAGGGTATTACAAATCTGGTAGTGTTTGTTTGCCTTGTTCAGCGGGAACGTATTCTTCAAGTATCGATTCATCGACTTGTACAACATGCAAAAATGGCACATTTTCATTAGAAAAAGCTACCTCATGTACTCCATGTAACACAACATGTGCAACATGTTATAAAGATAAAAACAATTGTACGTCTTGTTTTGCTGGTTATGAATACTATTCAAATAACAAAAAGTGTGTGGCATGTGATACAGGATTTTACTCTGATGGTGGTACCAAAAAGTGTTCGATGTGTGAAGACAATTATTACACTGATGAGATCGCCACTATAAATTGCAAGAAATGTGATTCGTCTTGTTTGACTTGTGGGAAGATAAATGGGAAATGTCTTCAGTGCTACAGTGGGTCTATGATTGTTGGTTCTCTATGCCAAAAATGTCCAGCCGGGACGTATCAAATTGGGGTTTATATATCAGATTGTGTTTCGTGTGGTGTTTTTGAATACTCCTTTGAAGGTAGTACCAAGTGTACTTCCTGCAGCCCAAGTTGCAAAAACTGCTCATCGACCACTGGTAATTGTACATCATGTTACAAAGGAATGTTCATAACATTACTTGGTTTTTGTGAGTCATGTGATGCTGGGTATTATCTAAATGGAAAAACGTGCTCTAAATGTCCATTGGGAACGTACACATCAACAAAGAACCAAACAAGTTGTTCGGTCTGTGCAACTAATTATTATGCAAATACTGAAGGATCAACACAGTGTACTAAATGTTCTTTTTTATGTCGAAGTGCATGTATTGTAACTACTGGAAAATGTGTTGATTGCAAAGCTGGATATATTTTAAACAATGGAAAGTGCCAAATCTGTCCCGCTGGAACTTGGGCAAATCAGAAGACAAAAAATTGCGATGAATGTCCTTTGGGGTCGTTTTCAGCAAGTAACGGTTCTTCATCTTGTACATTATGTCCAGATAAATACTATTCTAACACCATCAGTTCAACTGAATGTCAAAAGTGTTCTTCTACTTGTCAAACATGTGACCCTCAAAGTGGGTTTTGCACTTCTTGTATTTCTGGATATGGTCTCCGTGCCGAATCCAGTTTGAGTTGTAAAATTTGTCAAATGGGATATTATTCCTCTGATAACCAATGTACTTCATGTCAAAACATGACGTTCCAAAATCAAACCAAACAAACCAAATGTTTATCATGTGAGAGTGTTTGTTCAGGTTGCTCTAAAATTACAGGAAATTGTTTGTCTTGTATTTCTGGATATGGGTTTTACACTAACAAATGTATTTTATGTCCCAATTTGACATATTCAACTGGTGGGACATCTACATGTTTAAATTGTAATACAAATTGTGTAAAATGTGACAGAAATAATGGAATTTGTTCCGAGTGTGAAAGTGGGCAGAAAAGGGTTGGAAATGTTTGCACTTCTTGTTCTCAAACTGGATTTTGTGAATCGTGTAGTACAATTACCATTGAAAGTGATCGAACTTGTTCAAAATGTGTTTCTGGCTATTATCCCGAGTCTGGGAATTGTTATAACTGTAGTAAAATATCTTCTAATTGTACTTCTTGTTCACAAACAACCGAAGAATGTCTTTCATGTGCAAATGACTTAATTTCAACAGGAACCACTTGTACATCATGTGACACTGGAAGTGTAAAAACAAGTCAAACAACTTGCAAAAAAATGCTTTGAGTTGTTTCCATATTGCAAGACCTGTGAATATAATAAAGGGAATCCAGTGTGTACGAATTGTTATGCGCCTTATATTGTCGATGACATCTCAAAGAGTTGTGTTGATGGAAACAAAGATTATTTCCATTATAACTCAACGACTGAGAAGTCTGATATTAATTTAAATGGTGCAAATATCAAATTGAAAACGAATGTATATTATGTGCTAATGATTTTATTTTAAAGAATGGAAACTGCCAATTAATTAAACAAAAGTGTAACCAATCATCTATTAAAAATTGCGATGTTTGTTGGAATGAAAATGTGATTACAACAGAAGGAAATTGTCAATCAAATAATTCCAACAACTGTGTCTACCAAACCAATAACGCAGCTGAAATTTGTGTGTTATGTAATAATTTGTTGTTTGGAGAGAATTGTGAAAAAGGTGTTAATAATTGTTTAACTTCAAAAAATGATATTTGTTACAACCCAAGTGAAGGCTTTTATATTAATAACACTCAATTAATTGAATGTCCCAATAGTGTGATTTGTCAATATGGAAACAATGAAATTCTCAATACAAATATTTTTGAAATATTCAAATGCAACACCAACACAATTCTCAAAACAAACGAAGGGTGTGTAACAGAAATCAATTGTGTAGAATCATCCAACATAGAGTGTATAACTTGTGTATCAAATTATCACATTTTAAATGGAAAATGCATTGAAAATAGTGATGGGTGTTCACTTCAAAACAAAGATCTTTGTTTGGGTTGTACAGATGGAATAATGTGGGAAGGATCTTGTTATTCAAAGCACTTGATTAATTGTGGTGATTTTGTTCAAACTTGTCAAAAATGTCCGTATGGTTTCTACAAAGATGTTTATTCATGTAAAAGTGTTGAAGATAATTACCCAAATTGTACTTATATTTCAATAGTAAACGAAATCTGTATTGAATGTGAACCCAATTATTATCAAGTCGAAGGAAAATGCATTCAAATTGATCAAACCGTTGAATTTAACACATCTTTCATGTTTGATGTAAACACGACTCTAATAAATGAGAGTAACACATCTGTTCCTACAAAATTGACTAATTTAGAGAATTGTATCGAACCCACTGAAAAGGGCTGTTTGCGTTGTAATGATGGGTTTTATTTAAAAAACAACAAATGTTTGGAATGTGACTTTCAATGTGAAACCTGTTATAATTTTACATATTGCACAAAGTGTAATAAATATTCAAATACAATCGAAGGAAAATGCATTGAAATCAACTCCTTAATAGATACATGTGATGTAGTGATGGCCACATACACTGGATGTGTGAAATGTAAAAGTGGTTATTACAAATCATCTGATGGAAAACAATGTGCGATATGTGATGACACATGTCTAACTTGTCAGAATAAGAAGAGTTCTTTGACCTGTGTAGATGGGTTTTATAAATACAATGAAAATTCTTTGTGTCGAAATCAAAGCGAATTATTAAATTGTATAAATGCGACAAAAAGTGGTTGTATTATATGTGCCACTGGATATTATCTTGACGAAAATAACTGTGAAAAATGTGATGAAAAATGCACTCTTTGTAAGTCAAAAAGTGAGTGTTTTAATTGTGCGACAAATTATATTTTGCAAGACACCACTTGTCTTGATCTTTCTCTAATTGAACATTGTGTTTCAGCAGAAAATAATAGATGTACAAAATGTGAAGTAAATTACAAATTAAATTTAGAAGAAAGGTACTGTGAGAAAACAAAAAAACTATGGAATTTTAATTGGTGTTCCGCTTTCGGTATTATTTGTTCTCATTTTTATTATTATTCTTATAATCGGTTCTTTAATATATTTAATACACCACAAAACAAATAACATTTTAGAAGAAAATATTTGTATATTTGAAATGAAACATTCAAATGTTATAATGGAAAATCTTTCAAATACATTTGTTGTGAACTGTAAACATCTTTCTTTCAACGAAAATGAATTATTGGTACCAGTCGACGCGGAGAGTAGAGCACTTCTCTGTGTTGGAAATAAATCAAAAAACAATTTAAAAGTCCAAATCACAACAAAAGAAAATTGTGACAAATACACAATCAAAACAAATCCACAACTAGTCACTTTGAAAAAAGGTTTTGTGTGTGAATTTGAAGTTTTTATAACCCCACATTGTACACTTAATTTTAACGACAATTTTGTGATTGTCTCCCTTGACATATCAACCGATAAAATAGTGAATTTCGACTTTCCGTTTTCAATTGAAACAGAGAACTCAACTAAATTGAATTACGAAGAAATTGAAGAGAAAAAGAAACTTGGTGAAGGAAGCTTTGGGATTGTTTATTTGGGGAGTTACAGAGGAAATACAGTTGCCATCAAAAAGATGAAAAATGCTACAGAGATGGATACGGATAGCACGTCTCAATTATCATAGTTTTCATTAGAAGTTGAGATGCTTGACAAATTTAGAAGTGACTATATAGTCCATTTCTATGGCGCTGTATTCATTCCAACGAAATATTCAATGGTCACTGAATTTGCACAATTTGGAAGTTTACAGGACTTAATAACAAAACAGACAAATTTAAATACCCCATCTATCCAATTTAGAAGAAAAGTATGTTTGGATGCTATAAGAGGATTACAGTATTTACACTTTAATGACGTGTTACATCGAGACATTAAACCAGACAATATCCTGATATTTTCAATGGATCCAACGGAAAAAGTCAATGGGAAGTTGACTGACTTTGGGAGTGCGAGAAACGTTAATTTATTAATGACTAACATGACATTCACAAAAGGTATTGGAACACCAAAATATATGGCTCCTGAAGTGTTAAATAGAGAGAAATATGAAAAGCCATCTGATATATTTTCATTGTCAATTACAATGTACGAAACATTTGGGTGGAAATTGGCATATATGAAAACTGACAAACGTTTTCAATATGCATTGAATATAGCAGATTTTGTTACTGAAGGAAAGCGTCTTGAAAAATTAGAGGATGTCGACAGTCGAATTAATAACATCATAAATAGAGCTTGGGATCAAAACAAAAAAGCTCGTTTGACTATTGAGCAGGTTTTAAAAGAGTTAGAAAGTATATAATTATTAATCAAAAATATATTTTATGTTTATGTAATTAAAGTGGAGAATTAAACATAAAATTTATATTAAAATAAAATTAAATTGTGTGATGCAACTTATCAAGCAATTCAATCGCTTTTTCAATT